TCATCTTTTCCGGCTGGCCGCGACTCGAGCTTGGATGTTTGCGTCCGCCTGGAGTGGGGGAATAACAATTGTCGCTCCCGGAGGATTGACTCGGCGGTGGTGCAGGGCAGGTCGCGCGTTTGGAGGGGAAGATGGCGGCAGATTAGTTCCGAACAAACCAGCACTACTGAGGAGAATCACGTACTACCAACATTCCCCCTGGTTCTGGACAACAGTGACTGCAGCAGAAAACGCAACAAATGAAACACACTTTCAAGTCGTCGGACCCTACTTGTGGAATGGTTTGTCTGAAATTACCGATCACTGCGACATTGCCACTCAATAAATAGCTGAAAATCATCCTGAAACGGAGGTTGATCAGTCCACGATCACAAAATAATAATACAGCCGCTGCTCCTGCTCTGACCAGAGGGTAATCAATCCTGAGTCAAAACCTTAACAACTTGGAACCGCCATCTCGCAACAAATAGCAACCTCAAGACAATGTGTAACAATATTCGGAAATCAGCATTTATTTCGTCGATGTTGTGGATTTTTGATCTGCAACACGGTGGAGGTACCAATCAATGTTGCACGTCGCTGAGACTTCACACGTCTCTGGTACTAGCTGACACAACCAAGACAAGGAAAGTTTTTGATCAGGCTAAAGCTGCTACCCAAAGAGAGTCCAGATAAAACATTGATCACGCATTTTTGATCAGACTAAACCTACCGCTCAAAAAGTAGCTATCAAAGAGAGCCCAGATAAAACGTTGATCACGCTATTGCCGGGGAGAGAAAGTTGGTCTCAGCACGGCTGTCAGGAAGACAAAGCACAAAACCTCGGCAATCACTGCCTTACACTACGCACAATACTATTTCTAATACCATGCCTACACACACACATCGTATCATCAGTTTAGAAACTGGCATCAGTTTTTGAGGATTATTGGTAACCTAGGTTGGGTCTACCCATTTGCTACAGGTGGTCGGGCTTTGACCGAGCGGTGGATATTGACGGCAGTACCGCACGACGTATGGTCGCGTTTTGATTGAGTAAGAGTTCGAGTTTGTCGGCATTACCACGCGGCGTATTGCCGCGATTATACTAGAGAAAGAGTAGGAGAGAGAGGTGTTTGACGGCAGCGCCGGGTGGAGGTGGAGGTGGAGTTGTGTTGGCGTTTGACGGCAGTACCGCACGGCGTAATGCCGCGTTTAGAATCTGACGGCACTATTTATTTATTTATTTTTTTCTCCCATCATTGGACTCTGTCGTCTGCCCCTCTGGCCCCTATCCTCCACTTCTATTAGCTAGACGACCCAACCGGGGTCACATAGGAGGCGGGGGCTGGACCCCCTCCTGCGGTTCCTGCCTGAGGTATTTTTATCGCGAGAAGGGTACAGCAATTCCTTTCCTCGCGACTTACGAAGTCGATTATGGTTTACTAACAACGAGCTTTGCAGCGCGTCACTTTCATCCTAGGCCAGAATATATTTAGTGAGAAAAAAACTCACTCTGCCGGGACTCGAACCCACGACCTGGCCCTTGGCAGGGCGCGGGGTTACCCACTAGACCACCGGGGCGACCGGTCTATGTAGGCGTACCGCATCACCGCATGGGTGTACACATAACGACAGCAGTCCAAAACTGACGAGTCATCACGTGCCTGTTCATGCCTACAACCCCAGTAGACGGCGGGGCGCAGCTGACGATGGCGCTGCTGTAGGTCTTGGGGGTGCTGCTGCCATGCAGGCCCTCGCCGTTGGTGGCCTCTTCGTCTGGTTGGGTGTCTTCAGCCGCGCATGCGGCTGCCCATCGGTGCTACCAATCTCTGGTTGGCTCTTACCCAATCACCCTCTCGAGGAGAAAGTCTTTCAACGCTAGCGTGTTGGGTAAACCGGGTAGGCCGAAGCTTGAAGGTTTGTGGAGAAAGACAGCTCGGCCAGTGAAGGCCGAGATGAGACAGTCTTGTATTATCATCTACCAATTGCAATCTCCGTAGATCCATGTCCAATATTCAACCGTCTTTACTATGCTACGAGTATATCTAACAGAGGCCAGGTCGGTTTTCGTCGACGCAGCGGCGCAAGCGTACAGCAACCGGGAGCTCCAACACATTGACTGTACATCCGCCGCGGGGCGCGACCCCTACTAGGGCCGGCCATCCTCTGCGCCGTCTACCCAGGGCCGCCATTCCGGCCGCTCCGGGGCTTCACACTCACTCCCACCATATCTAATCCCAACGATGTTCAGTAAACACCACAAAATTAGCCGACCCTGAGGGGATGAATACGCAGAGGATAGACGCCGAAGACGGGGAAGCAACGATCCATGCCGGGGCCCGACGGCATTGACTACACATCCGCTACGAGGCGCCACCACAACAAGGGCTGGCCATCCTCTGCGTGGTCTATCCAGGGCCGCCTCCGGCCACTCTGGGACGTCACACTCCTCGCGTGGTGGAGGCAAACAGCACAAAAACTGGGCCTCTGACAGCTCAGACACCAGCGGTGGCCATGGAGCTAAGCGTAAGCACTCCGCGGGCGGTAACTTGACACCAGCGCCCCGACAGCCTGCTCGGCAGCACCACGCGGAGAGGGCTCTCAACAAACCGTTTTCTCCCCCTGGAGAACATGTGGAAGAAAAACACGCAGGTAATCCATAGAGATACTCCGTACGAATGCGCAAGGTCTTCAAATTCTGCGAACACACCACCGATAGAACAATGGTTGTAGCGGTAGCACGCGGTTCTCAGCGCTCCCTCTCGCCAAGTGTTGCCTGAGAGTGAGCGATGATGAGCGGCTGAGAAAGGAAGGAACAGGGAGGCAACGGAGCAGCTAACCTGCACACAAAAGTCGGATACGCTCACACTACCCCATCCCTTTACACTAGGGAGCGAGAAATCAGTTGCTGTCTCCTCCCCTCTTAGACAAAAAGGAGCGCTTTTTCCTGCCTGGTGGCGGTTTGGCCTGTTTCGGCGTCTCCCATGCTTGGTGCGTTGCGATATGTTTTTTTTCCGCACGCGTGCCTAGCGACCATCAACAGCCAGCGTGCAGAATAGCAAGCCCTTCGACGTAGGGTTGCTGGGAGCCCTTGATGGGAGCGATGCGTCAAGAACTCAGGTCGCACTCGATAATAATGCCGTTCGGGAGTCCGGATCACTGGAAGAACGAACGGCCGGACTTGTTTCCAGCCGGATTTTTGCCCATCCTGAAAAGTGAGTTTTTTTCGGAAAGGAATCCAGATGAACAAGAATCAGCCCAAATCTGCTTCCTTTAATGAAAAATTGGAGCCCCTGTCCGTGTGTAGACTAGACCTATAATTCTAACTACAAGGTACTGCTGCTGTCCTGTTGTGTATATTCATATGCATAGTCTACTGGAACATGTTTTGCCGACTCCTTTTGTTGAGTACAGAAACTTCGTTTACCCGCTGTTGAGTGCATGTCCACCACTACCCTTGTTGAACAACAGGATGTACTGCTGTATTAGTCTACAAGAATCTCTGCAAACAGTAATTCACACAGTATTTTGGAAGGGCGGACCAGACACATCCCGTTAAAGTCCAATGGTTACGGTGGCCCCGGACTATTTATTGTTGTTTTTCCTCTTCCCTGGTGGATATTATTGCGAATGCTAGGGATCCGCGCCTTGTATGCCGGCGTTCCGCCGCCTCATCGCAACCGTCGATCGGCTACATCGAAGCCCACTCTCCGGCTGGGCTCGCCTCGTCTACACTGTATATTGATGCTAATTTCAAATTGGCGGTGCTTTGATCATAAGCCAACATCACGCAGAAGTCGTACAACAACAGTAGGCTTGGTTGCGCAGTAGCCGCCGGATTGATCACGCCTCAAGAACACACAAGACGCTTGATCAACCCACGGTCTTGCTTCGGTGGAGTAGATGGCATGGAGGGAAGATTCAGGGCTTGTTCAGATTCATACTCCCTTCGTTTCTGTGACTGTGCACTTGGGTCTGGTTTGTGTTGGAGCTGCAAGGCGATAGGAAAGTATATTCAAGGAGAACGAAGGAAGGCAGCAACAACCTACATCCGGTCGGATTTTTCCACGCAGCCCCGGGATACAGTACGACTCATTTGGTTCGTATGCATGGGTTCGAATGAGAGTTGTGTCACTAATGATACCTGCCCTATCTCGTGGATTTGTCTCTCTGGAGATGCTGCTGCAATGGCGGAATTCCACGAAGTCAGTTCGGCGAGCCTCTTTGCTCTCCAACTCTCGCGTCGCCTCCCTGAAACTGAGACCGATAACTCCCCCTCCTGTGAGGTTCAAGGGTGGATCGTTCGAGGTTTAAGGGTCGGCTCATGGAGCTGTAAAACTGCAGCACGTGGGGTGGCGGTTGTTTATACGGTATATCCTGTCTGTGAGCTGGTGGGCTTCGGTCTTAGAGTGCACAAAGTATAGGATGTCCGCTGAACACCGAATATTACCGCAAGGCAAAAGGATCTGTGTGCACTTTGTACGAACAGGCGCGCCACACAAACTTCCTTTTGCTTTTTTTGCTGTTGCTTCGGTTTTTGTACGTCAGGCTGTCTGCCCATCTACCGCCTCTTTGTCCTGTTTGCTCCGTTACTCCCATGCCCTGGTGCGTAGTAGTGCCTGGTGCTGGTACGTTACCCTTTGACTTTTTCTTTAGGCGGGTGTTGGAAGCGTCCTCCTTTATTTGTTTTCTTCTATTTTGATCGGTTTCCGAGGGCTCTTTTCTCGAACGGTCGGTGCGGTACCCTTTCTTTTCTTTCTATCATTTTTTGGACGGATTCCACCTCGGGAAAAAACGCACGAAAAAAACGTGTTTCGCCAATAAAACGTGTTTCGAGGTTCTGCGCGGCCTTTTCGTACGAACTTCTGCAGTCCAGCTCGTCCATTTTTTTTTTTCATTTGGTGCGGTTTTTTTTCCGCGTTTGAAAATAACAAACTTCATGCGCGCACACGCACACATCCACCTTACCGCACGACACGCACTCCGAGAGCATAGCTATCAATCCCTGAGGCAACTGGTGTGGAACCGGCACGCACTGGGGTCATTTCCGGAGAACGTTTGTGTTTAAATGAACGGGCTGGGGGCGTGTGTGGTGGGCGTGGTTGAGACAGGTTTTCACTCGCACCAGTGACCGCGGTAGCCGCCTCTCCCACGGCGGACTTCGTGTGCATCCCCGCCCCTTGAGGGAGGTAGCGAGTCATCAGTCACACCAGCGGTCAAGTGCTTGGAAGTCAGGGTTAGCACAGTTCACACGTCGGCGTGGTTCGAGTTGGGAGCGTGGTTTGAGTTGGGAACGCATTGGAGTTGCCGCATTGTACCGCCAGGACGAGGAAAAGCTCCTCCTCCTCTCCAGCCACCGCACACAGCAGAGCCGCCGTAATCATCTGCATGATTTGGCCATGCCTCTCATGCCGAATCGTACCACGCTGTAGGCGCGCCATTTGCTTCAGGACGTCAACGCCCGAGCCAACATCACGCCAAATCACGCCGCCGCGTGTTCCGTGTTTTGCGAAAAAAAAAAAAAAAGAGGGGGTCCTGATGATGTCCGAAAAAATATCAAGAGCACGGTCGGGGGGGGGGTTCCAACCGGCACTATCGGGGAGACAGCGAAACACGATTTTTCAACCGTCACTTTCTGAAAAACGTTTGTCCAGACACGTTTTTTTCGTGCGTCTTTTAGGTGGAATCCCTAGAATATCACACAACAAATCCATCTCTATCTAAGAAATAAGTCCGTGACAGATTGATTAGCAATGAATCCATAGCGTGAGCAAAAAGCTACCTGTATGTCTAAGGTTGTTTTTCTTTTCCGAATGGTTTGTACCCTATTTTTGTTTTGTTTTCCCGCGGCATCGTATGTGCCGGGTTACACGGGTTCCCATTTTTTGTGGACAACAGAACTAATAATGTGAGAAACAACAACACAAAGAAGACGTCGCTTCGAGTGTGATACGCTTGGAGTCTTTATTTGCTTAAGGCAGACGTCGCAAGACAACACTCCCCGGCGACAAATTTTATCACCGGAAGTGGGATCCTGTGGGGGGTGTGGAATCTTATGTAGCCCGGGTGATAAAGTGCAGGCCCCTACGGGGGTGTGATAAACTAGGGGGTGTGATAGCACGTCCGAACACCCACAGAGAGAGGGTGTGTTTGGGGGCGTGATAATTAGGGTGTGTGACAACGCTGCTTGTTGTAAAGTTGAGCCGCTGCTGCCGCACATTTGAAGAGGTCTGGCTGCTGGTGTGTGTGCGATGCCCACGGGGCAGGTGCTATCACTCGAGGTGATATGAAGGAGGGGCCCCGTGAATGTATGCGGCGTAATCTCAAGGGGTGTGTAGCCCGGGTGATAAACCGATGGTTTGTCGGAAACGCCCAAAGTTATCACCGGGGTGTCGTATTCTGTGGGGAGTGTGGTGTCTTTTGTGGGTGTGTTATCTTGTGTCGTCGACGGTATACACTCTTGTGAAAAGTTGCAGGCGGGCCCGTCTAATGCACAAGATTATTGCTCTAGTCGTGCTTGCCGAACGTGAAACGTTTGGTTAGCCGGGATGCGCAATCAACCCATGCCGTATGTTTTGCACAGAGCACGCAGGATGATGATGACCTGCTTCTGGTTCATCCTTGTCAAACGTAGCCTGGGCGGGCGAAAACCCGGCATATCTCTCCGTCCCGGCATTGTAGGGATGCGACGTTAACGACTACGGTATATGTGTTTGCACGAGTACACCCCCCAATAGGGAAGGGGGCAAGGACGTGGAGCTCGAGGCGGCACAGATAACAACAGCGAAAAATCTTACGGATGCTCCAAGCGCACAATATTGCAGCAACAAGGCAGCGTTGGGATGGATCCATTCCCTGCTATCAGAAAGAGCCACAAAGAGGCTAAATGACAGTACCAAACGCATGAATATTGGAGAGGGGAGGTTGCCGAGAATAGCTTGGGAAGTGGAGAAAGCCGGGCAACCTGCGGAGTGGGCTAAGGTTGTAGATGACCTGTGGAGAAGGCGTTCGAAGCTGACACGGCTGAGACGTTGGAAACGGTAGACTTAGACTAGAGGGGTTAGGGGTTCAAGAAAAGATAAATGTTACCTTTGCCGAAAGAGAACAACATAGTCTATAACCCAAAGACACCAAGGATGAGGGTCTAGATATGTACGGAATTTGGAAACAAAGAATAGGTACTTGCGTAACCCAATTGATGCAGGGACACAGCTGAAGGTCAAAATTTGGACCGGGAACTTTAGCCTTGGAGCGTAGACGTAGATTTGGGAAGGTAGACGATACGACGACAAAATTCTAATGTGACTGCGGCTCCGAGTGGGAAGGCTGAGTTCATGTAGTTGCAGAATGCCCGTTGGACCTATAAGAAGAGAGTCATGTCCACGACTGAGCTGGGAAAACCAGAAGGGGGTACAGAGATATGTTGTTGCATCAATAGCCAGGAGCAGTAGCTGCACTGGGGCATAGGATGTGGACTGAAAAAAAAGCTGGGAGTGAGTGATAAAGATATTTGTAGAATAGATGAAAAGGGCAAACGTTTTCGAGTATCCTTTTAGGCGAAGTAGGAATGAACACTTGGCCATCGGTGATCGGTGATGTCGGAACAATGCTGCGTCCTCTCGAGGACTCATTGTCTAACAGCCGTGGCATGCAAAACATGAGCATCCCCCCCCCCGCTCCCCCCCCATTGTTGATACGCATGTTTACGCTCGCTCCTAATGCCGGCAGCGATGCGTCTCGCCACCACCCTCTCAGAATTATTCGGCCTGAATTTGGCTCGGACACTGTCGATCAACGGCATGCCGGGGTTGGCTGTGCAGACCATCGTCGGCTACGCCAACGGGAGTTTGGGAGAGACGTCTTTGGCAATGCGGACGGCTATTCCAGCGCACTACTCGACATGATGGCCCGCGCTGTGGCTTTTGGTTTCCAGAAGGATCCCCAGGTTGTTACTGAATCAACATATGAGTTTGCAGCCGGGCGGGACACCGCTGGCACCCGGGGCAACAACCAAAATAACTGATAAGGCTGCTCCGACCGCAACGGCACTGCCGTGAGTCACTGTGATATCCACTTGCTGCACATACATGCATAATAACACCAGGGAGAAATACTAATATTTCAAAGCTTCGCGTCGCATGACCCTGCAACTCGATCAAGCGTATTTTGGGAAACAAACAATACAGTGGTAGGCCTCGAGCACCTCCCTGTGAGACTGCGAGGAGGAATGTCGTGTTGGCCCGTGAATCCTTTGGACCTGGTTGCACGGTTTCAGGAGAACATCACCCGTTCTTGACCCCCCCCCCCGTGTCGGCATACCAGGGTGGGTACCAGCGCCTTGAGGAAGCGATCAAGAGGGTCGTGGTGCACTCGGCGACGAGCCTACGTTCGATCTCCGTAACGGGCAGGCGATGCTCATGGGACAACAAGACCGTGTTCGCCATTCTAGAAGCGCTTGCATATTACCTCCCTCTCACTCTCAGAATGGCACGAGCGATTTCCCATGTGACGGTTGCTCACAGCCAATGAGCTCTCATCGCCGCTTCCCGCGCGCTTAAGAGCAACATTTGGCCTGGTGGTCTTGAAGAGCTGATCCTGCGTGACACCTGCGCGCAGCACAATGCCGTGACGCCCCTTGTGTACGGCCTCCGCCAAGGCAACGCGCCATTCCTGCGGGTCCTGGACTGGGGCGGCCAGTCGAGAACTACTGCCTGCATTGGCAACCACGTGCTCTCTGCACTGTCAGCCGGTCCAATGCGTCCGCGGATCGAGGTCTTGAACTTTAGCAATAACTGCACCTTTTCGACGAAAACCTGTCCAACCTGAGGGGAGCTCTCCGCGCTTGCCTAGGCCTTCTCGAACTCTGCATGGACTCCACCACAACCCCTTCCGATCAGCTCGGCGACCTCACTCTGGTACTGGAGGCTGGAGATGTGCCGGGGCTTCGGTCACTGTATGTGCGGGTTCCCGTATCCACTGAAAATAGGGAACACGTCGCATCAATTGGTGAAGAGCTCGTGAAAGCCGCTGACCTTCGCGGGGTTTGCCTGGAAACTGATTATGAGCCTTTCGGCCCTGGACACCACGCCTTTTTTCGCTTTTGGATGACTTGGACGTGGTCGATGCGTGGGCATACCCCGACTTGGCGCACACGTTGTGCAGAGTAGTAGACCACGGAAGGAGGCGGCAAACAACACGAAGACAACTGTCATTAAGAAAGGAAGAAAATGCGAAACTCTCACGCTCGTACTTTGCAGCGCATTCTGGCATGTCAAGGGTAGCACAACAACAAAGTGCAGAAATGCTGCTGATCTGGCTGTTTCGCCTATTTAGCAGAATGGCTATGGCGATAGACTTCCAGAGTCGATGCAAGAATAGGTGTGGATGCGTGGTGGACTGAATCGAGTACCAACAGGCAATGTTCCAATGCTTTTAGTGGTGGATACTGCCACGTGAAATTGCATTTTGTTGAGTGCCTGCTAGACGAACACGGCTCGTTGATTTCTCCGTTGGAAACAAAGGGTTCTCCGGACACCTTAGCACAACCCAGGGAGAAACCCAGCGAGAAAAGTCAGCGCGGTTGGGAAATTTCTACTCCACCGACACGACGCCGACGGTCTCGTCGCCCATTGTTTTTGCGTTCGTTTCTTTGCGTTGGTTTCCCTCTTGTATTGGGGTTCGTGTACCAATGAAAAAAATGCCACCAGTACACCTACGTAGCGGGGGGATCTCGGAGGAAACTGAAAAGAAAATGAACCACCTTATGGACTACATGGGCACTTCCAAGAAGATGCCTAAACTAACCAACACGTGGTTCCACCCATTAACGTCGGCACCAAGAGGCTGCAATAGAAGAACGACATCAAACATATCACTTTCTTCTGGACCAGTTAACGCGCGTTTCGGCAATGTTATTCTTGGGCTCGGTGTTCGTGCGGGGATGATACGTGTTGTCCGTTCAACCATATTTCGAAGGGACTCATTTACATTTGGCGAACGGTTGTGATCGAGGAATGTTTTTCAGGAGCTCGCCTGCGGTTCACAAGGTCTTCCACCCATTATTTGCGGTTTGCTGACCAAATCATTTGCTCGTTTGCTTCATTCCGAGCACAATATATGCCGGATCTCGCATCGAACATTGATTTATTGCAATAAACCTTTCAAGCCGCGGTGGTTGTCTCTCGAGGCTTGATCCCTTTCTTTGGTGGTGGCGAGCAGAATGTACCCCTTCGTTGTTTCACCCATCTTTCAGTCAGTCTTGTCCCAGTACGTGCGTATCAGCGGCTAGGCTATTTCATGTAGGCACACACACCTCCCTCCATCTCATTGTACCTTCAGCACGTTCTGCACTCATCACACTCGACCATCTCTTTCCACCTTTCTGGAACGGCAGCTGGTTGTAGCACAACCGCCGTGTGCACGTCAATCTCCAGAAAACGCAAGGCATTGGCCTTCGGTTTCTGAGCTTTTGCCAAACCAGTTAAACGTCACTTTGTCGTGGAGAGCATTGTTTCTTCGATGTCAATTTAGCCAAGCCGAACTTCCAGGCGCACAGGCGGAGTCTTCGACATGGCAGCGCGCTTGAGCACGTCCATGGCTTGCCATGGCTCGTACTCAGCACGGACAACCGGTACACGCATGTGGGCATGCTCTAACTGGGGCACCTCCCCCATCGCCAGCGCGTAGGCCAGGTCGAGCAGCTGGGTCGAACACATTTTTGGCTGCAGTCCACGCTGAAAGCACGGAGCCCCGGGCAGGCTTGCAAGGCTCCCCTCAGGTAGGACAAGTTACTCTCGACGAAGTTGAAGTTGTTGACGAAGCTGAGCCGTTCCATTCGAGGACGGGGGTACGCGCCGAGAGCAAGAGAACCCAGGAGGAGGTTCGTCGTCGATAGGAGACGGCTGGACGGTTTGCTCCCTTTTCTGTACTGGTTTTCCCAGACGAACACGCGTAGCTGCGGGGCATTTCCTTTTTTGAGAGCAGTAGCCAGAGGCACCACGTCACAGTGTCGGGCATGGCCGTCCCGGATGATCAGTTCCTCCAACGCCGGCAGCTGGTTAAAGTTTTGATTGCTTGACCGATCTTGCTAATTGGATGTTTGTTGGGAGGTTCTCCACCACGATATCAGATAGCTCCAAAACGACCAGGTTAGGCACAGAGCGCCACGCGGGAGGGAGCCGAGGGATGAGGGCTTCAACGACACCTGATGCCTCTTGGCTGGTCATGCTCTTGCAAGCTATTGAGCGCAGCGTCAGAAGGGAACGATTCACCTCTTCCTGTGCCAGGAATAGCGGTAGGTGCAAGCACCTTTTGGGCCGGCCAACAGGAGGAAATTGCATTGCAACGGCACGAAGGAAAACGAATAGTAGACTGTGCGAGTGAACAATCAACCACAGAGCGCACTCAGTACACGGCACCAAGCCCCTGAGCAAGAATAATGCCAGGCTAACTTGAGCAAACCTCATCCGTGCTCCGCCTACTTTGGAAGCACGGAGTTAGCCACTGTCGCATGGAAACACGTACTCACATTGCTGTTTGCCTGGCGAGGGCAGCCCGATATGGTCATTTGCGTGACCTGCATCCCGGGATTCAGACTCGGTCTCTTGGACAGGGCCGCGTAGTCAAGCCCCGCGTACCCCAAGTTCGTCGTCGTGTTGGCCCTTTAAGTCAATCGCAATGTGGACGGGCATGGGCATGGGCAAACGCGTGGCGCGACCCGCAATGGAGTCCTTGTGCTCCCCCACCTATTATTTGACCCCAATTCTGCAACCGGGCCGGTGAATCTCTCCGACCATGTCACGGTGTCCATCTCTGGCGCAAAGACATACAAATGCAGATGTCGCAACACGTGGGTCAAGCAGCCAGGGAGAATTTGGTGGTGGAACGAGATCGATTTCGAACAGAGTGACTCGGGGAACGCAGAGAACCGTTCGTAAGGATAACGTTGGCGCTGTAGAGATACGCCCTGGTCACCCGTACATAGCACTTAAACGGCGCTGCCACCATTGCTTCACTTTCGAAAAGGTTCTTGCTCTTGGAGTCGCGGGGCACAGCACCAGCATTGCTGTGTAACAACGAACAGCAGTATTGTAGATGGCAGTGTACAGCGCTGTACTCGTTGGATCGACATCAATTTTGCCAATCATCCGAACCGGTAAAGCAGAGCTGGAAATGGAGCTAGGACGAAAGATTACCCATTGCAGTAAACAGGCAACGCATCACTACCTCATGGCCCTCCATTCGTGCTGCTTACTGTGGATGATTTAGGACCTGAAAGAGCCTGCCCGACCTCGGCGGGAAGTTGGAGCTCTCGCTTGTAGAACTTCAGCTGATTTTAATTACCGAAGGAAACGCCGTAAGACACGAGACTCGACTACAATGGCACACTCCACGGACTGCTGCATCGTTGCAGGGCGGGGATCCACTACGGTTGCACTTTGCAAGGGCGTATTGGGCTTTCCGCCCACCAAAGCGATTGGTTCTGCGCAAGTCTGGTCTAAGTTCCCACAGCGAGAGTTTTATCACGTGTTTTTTCATAATGAAATCTCTATTCCACCTACCCCCCGCCCGCCATCTAGTCTACAAGGGAGGTCCTGCCGTCGTCGGCGCTGTGCTACACCGGCTTGGAATTCTGCAGCATCTCAACCCAGGCGGCCGCGGCAAGTCTCTCACCGGTTCCAGGTACGTTCAATTGCCCGTTGTGTGTGCTTTGCTCTCTAGGCTACAGCGTTCCAGGAGGCGCAAAAGATGTGCAACAAACCCCGCTTGCCAGGGAGCAGGGGTGACTGCGGAAGTCAATCCCTCATGCTATAAGTTTAGTGCATTCGTATGCCAAGTGAGGGCGTCGTCTTTTGCCACCAGGTGAAGGGGTCAAGGTACCGTCGGCAATCAGCCTTCCCGGCTCCGTTGTAATTCAACGTGCCTCACTGACGGGTGCTCGCTTCTTGCCGAACCGGCGGTCAGAGTACAACGGTAGAAGGTTTGGAAAAAGTGCGCTGTCCACACCCTTGTCAAGCAAACATGTAGCGCATTGGTCTGTAACTCGCTGCATCCACTCAATGGATCGTCTTCCTTGTGAGCACCTTTAGCCATTTGGCTCGAGGCCACTTCAAAGCAAAACTGATGTGCAAGTATGCCCACGCCCAAAGTAGGCAGTCATGCAGACAGCAGCTGCTGCAGAGGCGCAGGTGCTTTCCTGCGCCTCTATGCCCATGGTAGAGGAGAAATCTTGTCTTTACCAACGAAGTGGCGCTAAAGCAGTCCAGTAACTTCACAGCATTAGACTATAGTCAACAAGGAGAGGTTCATGAGCGGCCCTTGGACCTCCAGCACGCACAAAGAGCTCCCATCCCTGCAAGCACCCCCACAACAACGGGTCCGTAAATGCTGGTCAGCACTCTACGCCCTTACCGACAACTATGCCATCACTACGGCTGAGAACCTCGGTACAAGCCACGCCGCTGCGTTGGTGTGTGTCCCTGCGGTGTGTTAGGTCCGTGTTTGTTTCTCTCCGCTGCTCGCCGTATCCTGACTGTAAGAGAAAGTTACACCATTAGACTAGTCAGCCGTAGTCTAATGGGTAGACTAAGCCTTTACCAATCGAAAGATACACTCTCGGTTCGTAGAATCCCGGGCTGTGAGTAGAGATCTCCGGGGACGGACCTCTCGCCAGGCGCTGCCGAGAACAGAACTATGGTGCTTTTCGTAAAGTGATCAGCCCGGGATTTGAACCCGTGCGTGTATCCTTTATTTGTAAAGGCTTACCCATTAGACTACTCAGTCAGCGCTGACTAGTCTAGACTAGAGTAAACCGGCCAATTAACGAACGCTTAAGCCACCCCTCGCGCCAACAGCTCGTTCTCGGGCACGAAGAGGAGTATGATGTATTTGTGGGTACCGGACGATAGCTTGTATTATAGGCTACCTCCCTAAAAAAAAAAAAAAATCGTTCGTGTCAACGAGATAGAGCTGATGCAGTGCATTCCATTGTTTAGCTGAAAATGCAGGAAAACCCCCCCCCCCCCCAATTAACGAACACTTTAGCTTTGTAGCTGCTTTCGTGCGTTCTGAAGCGTTTCATGATCTGATTTTTTGTGGAGATACGTCTGTCGCAACATATATCCGTTTAGGAAAAAAAAAAATGGAATCGATCCACGCCCGGGGACAAAATCCTCACATCCCCGGGTTTTCCGCCTGAAATCGGGGACGGATTTTACCCCATTTTTGACCGTACGGCGGTGCTGCACACATGAAAAGAGCCAAAACTAAGAGATTATTGCACAGTGGGTCTAATCTGATCATATACAGACTCAAGAAAAAAAAATTAGGACGAAAAACTTCGCGCATGTGATGTAATGCCCGTTCAAACAGGCACCCCTTGACCCGGCCGCTACCGCTATAATTCTCCGCAAGAACCCCAAGGCCATTTCCCTTTTTTCACAGTCATCTTACATTCCCACAAGACGCCCTTTGGTGTGTAGGTTTGTTTTATCACAAGAAACGCTGTTGCAAAAAAAAAAAAAAATCATGCATGCCCGGGGACAAAATTACCATATCCCCGGGTTTCCCGGTATCAACCCCCCCGCCCCCCCCGCGCTGCTGGGGTGCACCCTAACCATCTCCACATGCCCCCACAAACCACCTAATCTTCTGCTTTACTCGTATAGTCTAATTCATCCACCGCCTAGACAATAGTAGCCCAGAAAAACAACAACAACCGCAAAGCATCTGCCCTGGTCTAAACATCAACGATTGGTGTCGGGATCCGCTGCCGTCCTCGGGAAGAAATGGGAGCCGCCGACGGCGGCGGGTGAACCAAGGGAACCGCCGCCCCTCTCGGCCGTCCCGCTCCTCCTTGGACGGGAGCACCTCTCCCCTCGTCCCCCCCCCGCCCTCCCGCCCCCATTTGCTCTCCACGAGCACCAGTGGTGCGGTCCTGGCCACCCTGTCCTCTGCCACGCCCCTCTCGCCCACCGCCACCGCGCCCCCTGATCGCCGTCCGCGTCCCGCTTAGCTCAACCCTCACGCTCCTCTCTCCCCGCCCTCCGTCCTGTTCCCCGCCCCGTCCTTCGCCACGCCCCCCGCTCCGCCCTCCACCTCTCCCACCCTCGCGCCCTCCACCTCTCCCCCCCTCTCGCCCGCCGCCCCGCCCGAAGCCCCGCCCGCCGCCCCGCCCGCCGCCCCGCCCGCCGCCCTGCCCGCCGCCCCGCCCACCAACTGCTCCAGATTGTTGGTTGGCCTCCTTCGTTGCCCTTGCCTCCGCGCGTGCCGCCTTTGCTTCCTCAGCTGCCTGCTTCGCTTCTTGGTCCTTCTTGGCCTGAGCAAGATGTTCTTCGGCGGACAGCAGACCACCTTCGGGCTTCCCCCCCCCCGCCCGAACGGTCGCGAAAGCCTTGGTGCGCTTGGTGAGGCGGGTGAGCCCGCCAAGGAACACGGTGTTGACACGGAGCCCCTCGATCATCAGCCCGTGTCTTTTCAGCTCCAGGAGGGCAGCGCGGCCGAGGTCTCGCTCGAGTTGATCCTTAGAGGCAACCACGGCGAGGTCTTCACGAATAGGGCGGTCATGGTCCCGTTGCTTCCTCTTGCTGTGTAGTCTGTTGATAGCTTTCTCCATGCTCACCGGCCACAAGCCCGACCCTTTGAACGCCGCCTTGTTGTTCTCAGGCGTGAAGCTCCCTGCCCATGCCTCCGCAATCACGCCAGCCATGTCGCGCTTCACCGGACTCCTCCCCCCGTTCTTTAGCGGGTAGGCCGTGAGCACCTTGGTGATCTCCATCTTGAAGGTTCCGAACGTACCGACGTCCAAGGGCTGGGTGATGTGCGATGTGTGGGATGGAAGCTGGAATAGGTCCATGTCCAGGGAGATGCCCAAGCTGATGGCGTCGAAGGTCGTGTGTGAGGCGTGGCCGTCGAGCACAAGGGCAGCTTTGCCCAGCAAGCCGCGCGCATCGAGCTGCTTGCGGAGGTCTCGAAGGTAGTCCAGGAAGACGTGGCTCTGGATGAAGGATGACTCCGTGACGGTGTACTTCGCATCGGGGACGCCGTTGTTGTCCTGGATCCAAGCGGGTTGCATACGCTGGCCTTTGAAGATGATGGTAGGGTGGAACGTGTGGCCGTCGGCACCGATGGTGGCGACCACCGTCGTATTTTCTCGCGAATTGGAACGCCTCGCGCCGGGTACCTTGGTGCCTCTTGCGACGATTGCCTTCCCCGACTTTGTACCTTGAGGGGTCGAACCTACAACACGCGCGCATCGGGGGTAAAGACAGTTGAACAATCAGTAAACTAGACACACAAAAAACGCGCGTACAAACACACATGGGTGCTGCTCGCTCCGGGTGGTGGCACACAGCAGTGGTGAAGGCCATTTTTTGTGCGGCAAGTGTCGGATTCGTTTAAACTTTGGGTGCGAAACAATAACCCCACACCCATGGCAGTTTGCATTGAGCTCCAAACGTAGGTGGGTTTACAAAAACAAAGCGTTCTACTGAAGTCTCGACGTGACTAGACTAGTCTGCACTTCGCGCGTCGTTCAGCAACACACATGCATTTTGCAGACCAAGAACACACGCCCGCTGTTGCCGGTAGCATCACAACAGAAAACGATGTACACATGCAATCATGCGGCAGAGTGCAACTGAGATGACCACAGGGACTGTTACATGCTAACCTCAGCCGACTCCAGCAGCAAACATGCGGGCGTGTTGTGTGCTACGCGCATGACAAGCAGCAACGGCTCGGAAGATATGCGGGACAACTGCTGGATCTTTTTTTTTTGCAGCAGCAGAACTCCGCGTTGTTGTGACACATCGCAGTGCTGCTGGTACTTCGCCTACGAACCCACAGCAGTCGATACTGACACCGCTGACACCCAATGACACCTACTGACACCTCAACCCTTGCCCTAACTCACTTGTCTCATCCGTGTTGAGGATGCGTTCCGGCGGGAGCTTGGTCTCCTCCAGGTACTCCGCCCATGCTTTGTAGAAAGCTTGAAGGCGAGGCTCGCCGTCTTCGTTAATCCGGTTTGCTTCGTAGATGTGGGTGGCTCGCTCCGACAAACCCGGGTGTCTCGCCATAAACCCCTCAAGCCAGCTGTCCCCAGGGCCCTTGTCTGGGTCCCAGGGCACCTTGCGCCCGTCGGTGCAGATGTTGCGCACAGCGTCTCTCAGCTCCCTCCGACCCAACAGCAAGAAGTGTCGGGAGGCGTAGATCAAGACGTCTTCTACGAAATCTTCCTCCTCCTTGCTCAGGACAGTCCCGGGACCAACCCTCGCATCTATGGCCACCTTGTTCTTCACACGGTCGTGCAGCGAGGCTAGCGGTAACCCGTAGGTCCTCGCAGCAACGCGGAGCGACATCTCACCGCTGCGTACCGCATCTACAGCCTTCTGGGCCTGCTCTGGGTCTACTCTCTTACGTCCCATGCTTAGCAGCAGGACCCCGAAAAGGGCAAAGATGCCCCACATAAGGGGTGTGGGTGAGGGCTGTGCTGTATCTCGGGAGTGCTTGACCCGATCGACACGCGGAGGTGCTCAAACGAAAGCTAACGGAAAGCTGAAGATTTCAAAAAAAAAATTGGGGGGCTCCGCGCATTGTGCGCCGAGGGACGTGCATTTGAAAAAAGTGTTCGTTAAAGGGGGGGTGTTCGTTAATACCCTGGTTTAGGCCTAATGTTACTCTAATAATGGTGTAACTTTCTCTTACACTGAAAAGGTTCAGGGCAAAAAATGGCAAACTTGGACAAAGTCGATCACGAAACCAACCATACCTCCAGGGAAATCGGCGAGCGCGTGAGACCACCCTGCTCAAGTGTTGTGGCTGGATTCGGTTCGTGCCCACGCTTTGCCCTGTTTTCAAGCGCCCGTGCTGTTGTGGATTACCACACCATGGCAGCAAGAAGCGGCACGACATTTTTCATGCACGTCGATCATCGATCATGCCGCAACCCGACCCCGCGGATGCACAATAGCTGGTACCCCACCCCCCTAACAATATCTCGACCCCCCCATCATGCCATATGATGAAGAGCAGCAGCAGAGCAGCAGGCAGGAGCCGAGAGAGCGCGCCGTTGCCGCTTTTCTCGCCTAGTCTCGTGGCAGATATCGAGTCTGTTTTGCCTTGAGCTGTGTCGGACTCTTGTGGGCCTGTCTTCCGGCCAGATATGATGGCGAAGATTGTACGCTCTGTCCTTGCGGTCGTGATTGCATTGATCTGCGGTCCAGGGGATGCGTTTGTTGTAGGCGCGGGCCGGGGGCTGGCTCCAGGGCGACCACTGCATACGACTACGTCGGTAAGTGTGCTCCGAAAGCTTGTTTCCAGCACATGTAGGGTGGATGCAATCCGTCGCTCGCATGTGTCGTACATATACTCTTGTGTTTTGGGTGTCTCTGTCTTGTTGCAACGTGTCGGGCCGCGCGTGCGGCACTCCTGATAGGGTTGTGCTGTAGTTTCGCTTGCATCATGTTCTGCATGGTCCAATCCCTTACCGTCGGGCTTCCAGCCGGCTGTGTTCTTTCCACATGTTGACAGAGGGGAACCGTCTCACTCACATCTTGGGATCGCCGCCCAATGTTGGGTAGCGCTATTTGTATTGTGGCCGTTGCTGCTTGCTCTCTCATGAGCTCATGAGCATGTAGCATCTTGCAGGTGGCGCTGTCTCGACGTTTATAGCTCAGGCCCTCTGCCGCTCTCGTTTAACTCATTTGGTGCCCTTGCACAGCGCCATTGGTCGCAACTGCTGTGGAATGAATGTCTAACGATGAGCTCAGCCGCAGGTGGCATTTACATTTGTGCTCACCCACATTCAACTGCGACGCCTCTTCGGCATCCTTTTTCTTCGCAAACCGCTTGCCGGTTTTGAAGCATCGACAACACACCCCAACACTGGTGTAGACGAAAGCGCCAGTTCATAGACTGGAGTAGTGCTGTTGTACCGCAATGAGTACGACTGATTTGCGCTGTTTCCTCATCGCATGCGGTAATCTAGTCTAGATTCGTCATGCACATTCATACCCATTCCGAGTTCGCCGGCGTACCTCGGCAAGCGGATGCCTGCACCACAGCAGAGGCAGCACTATTCTACGGAAGTGCTGCACTGCGGGGGGTGCTGTTCGCATGCACACTTGTAGGCTCCAAGCGGCCGGGGGTTCGCATCCGCTGCCGTTCGCTCGGACAACGTCCAACCTGAACTCGGTCCAGACAATATATTCCCCTCCCGTTCACCGCACGGGTCCAGCAGAGAAGAGTTTGTCTCTAAAGCACGAGCAACGTATCACCAGACCCAAGGAAACCCTGCTGATGTGGTACAATCCCCTGCCCCTCTAATCCTCCGCCAGGCGTTCGCCCCCGCTTGCTGTAGTAGCCCCCGTAGAGGTCGACCTGCGGGCGGAATGGCTTTCCGGGCCTCCCTATCAAGCACGCCGGCATTCCGCGGCAGGAACCGGAAAGCTATGTCAACGCGGAGGTTGGGCTGCCGGGAAGGTGAACGGGGGATGAACGAGGGAGTGCATTACGGGGACGCCGTCGGTGGAAAGGAGGGAGGCGGGGAGGGGGAGGCTGTTGCAGCGCGGCGCGCCCGCTTCGCTCGGCCTGCTGCGGTGTTGCGGTTTGTGCGGCAAGCAGTGGAGCGCGGGGTCAGCATGTCCAGGTGATTGTAAACCAGCTATAGCGTCCCCCCCCCCCCCCCGATACAGGTTGTATCCCGTGTTTCACGCAGTCGTGCTCTGCGCTCGTGTGTGCTTACTGCTGCCTGCCATGTGTTTGGAGACGGCGGAGATAGAGTTTTGGCAGTTTCCGCCAAAGTGTAGACGTCTCCAGTTCTTCCTGGACTAGCTGTTGTGTCGGGAGGTTGTCGTTCGACCTTCCAAGACGTGGGGGGGCATGGCAGGAGTGCTTCGAGATCGGAGACATGGTGTTCCACTGAGTGGCGTGTGCCTGTTGTGGGGGCTCTGGGAGTTTCAGTTGATTTTGATAATCTTGGGCTGTCTCTCCAGCTATTCGACTATTCTCTGCGCTGGTCAAATGTGAGAAGCTAGCGGGGGGAGAGCTCCATTTGCCGGCCGGCATCAGTCATGTTAATTTGCGAGAAACGTTGATCGCTCCTCGCCCTCCACGTTGCTAGTGCTGGATTCGCCATGGAGACGTTTTTTTCCGGCGGAAAGCTTTGCGTGAGGCGGGTTTGGTTCGTGTCCATGTTTCCCTCCTCACCCAGTCCCGATAGGATGCCCTCGAGTGCCTTGTGGTTTGGACGGGGTTGTTGTTTTGCTGGGACTTTGATTCAGAGTACGACTGGCGACGGACTCTTGTGTAGTGGTATCTTGGTTTCTTGTCCGGTTGGTCTGGTGCGATGGGTGGTTTCAGGCGGAGTTGTTCGCTGATGTCGTGGTTGAGTTGCACGGCGGTCCGGTTGGTCCGTTTGTAGTGGCTGGCGAGGAGCAGCCTATGGCCGCGGCGGCGGCGGCTGGGTGTACACTAGGTGCAACTACTGTAGGTGTATGCAAGTCTCACCGTCAGGTACACCGGATACCCTAGGCGAACCCACCCCGATCCAAACAGCACCCCTCTGTTGCTTGGCGCTCACTACTGCTGGGAGAACGTGAAAAACAAAAGTATTTTTGTGTCATGCTTTGCATCTGGCCTCCCTTCAGCCTCTAACTTGTTCTTTCCCCCGGTGACGCGTGTCGGGCATCTCAGCAAGGGGACGAGGGCGCGAGTTGCTGCGTGGCGCCGAAGGATGTCGGTGGCCTTCATCGGTGTTGCCGCTGCCGTGATGATGATGACCGCCTCGGCCGGCCCGGCCCAGGCGCTGTTCGGGATTGGTGGGAGGAAGGAGGCGCCTGTGACTCGCCTCACCTACATGCCGGAGAGCGTCTACCAAGAGCGGGAAGCGCTGCAGAAGTTTGTGAGTCTTGTTATGGATTTCCACTTGTCCCCATTTTGCACCTGAGTGATGCACGTTTTCTTTCGGCTTCCCCTGTTTTTTGCTTTTTTTCAAGCGACGGAAGTCGCACGCAACCAGAGTGCTGTTAAACATAATATTCGGAAGTCGATGTCGTCAAGGTCAGCGGCACGCCCACCGCCGTTGGATTGACGGGTTCGTACATTGATCGTAGCCGTGCTACCTCGCATGAGGCAAAGGACAATGAGCGTAAACTGAAAACTTGTGACGGTCTGTTCTTATTTTTTTTGCGCCCCGCGTACTCTCCCCCCCCCGGTGTTTACCATCGGGGTTGGGTTTTCGTCGCTTGGCAACGACGTTGTAAAACCTGCCGCCGCCCCCCGGTGTTTGCCATCGGGATTGGGTTTCGTCGCTTGGCAACGACGTTGTAAAACAAGCCAATTCACTTCGTGAACTCGGCAACCAGGTTACCGTTTTTTTTTTTTACCTCCGGTTTTTTTTTTTGCGGTAACCATAATGGTGGTCGAGTAGATCATGTTGTGCGGGGTGGAGAACCCTCACTCCGCGCAAGGGGGATGATCGCACCACGTTGTGTTAAAATGGTCAAGCACCCTCGAGGCAGTTACACAGTGCTTACAACTGTCTCTGGAAGTGAAAGCACCAGAAAGTAAATTAAGTCATACGCAGCTGTCATCCGTACGCAAGGAAGTAAGCACAAGATGCCGAACACCCTTCGCAGGATGCAGCGCACCC